TACCCTACGCCTCTTGTTTTGTTTTCATCATTACCCTACGCCTCATGTTTTGTTTTCATTATTACCCTACGCGTCATGGTTTGTTTTTATCATTACCCTACGCCCCATGGTTTGTTTTGTCATTTCCCTAGGCCTCATGGAATGTTTTCATTAGTACCCTACGCCTAATGGTTTGTTTTCATCATTACACTACGGTTCATGGTTTGTTTACATCATTACCCTACGTCTCACGGCTTGTTTTTATCATTACCCTACGCCTCATGGTTTTTTTCATTATTAACCAACGCCCCATGGTTTGTTTTTATCATTTCCCTACGTCTCATGGCTTGTTTTCATCACTGACTTACGCCTAATGGTCTCTTTTCATCATTACCCTACGCCCCATGGTTTGTTTTTATCACTTCCCTGCGCCAGATGGTTTGTTTTTGTCATTTCCCTACGCCTCATGATTTGTTTTCATTATTACCCTACGCCGCATCGTTTGTTTTTATCATTACCCTACGCCTCATGGTTTTTTTCATTCTTAACCAACGCCCCATGGTTTGTTTTTATCATTTCCCTACGCCTAATGGTTTGTTTTCATCATTACCCTACGCCCCATGGCATGTTTTTATCATTTCCCTATACCTCAAGGTTTGTTTTCATTATTACCCTACGCCACATGGTTTGTTTTTATCATTACCCTACGCCTCATGGTTTGTTCTCATCATTTCCCTACGCCTCATGATTTGTTTTCATCATTACTCTACGCCCCATGGTTTGTTTTTATCATTTCCCCAAGCCACATGGTTTGTTTTCATCATTACCCTACGCCTCATGGCTTGTTTTCATCATTGACTTACGCCTCATGGTCTCTTTTCATCATTTCCCTACGCCCCATGGTTTGCTTTTATCACTTCCCTGCGCCAGATGGTTTGTTTTTGTCATTTCCCTACGCCTCATGGCTTGTTTTTATCATTTCCCTACGCCTAATGGTTTGTTTTCATCATTACCCTACGCCTCATGGCTTGTTTTCATCATTGACTTACGCCTCATGGTCTCTTTTCATCATTACCCTACGCCCCATGGTTTGCTTTTATCACTTCCCTGCGCCAGATGGTTTGTTTTTGTCATTTCCCTACGCCTCATGGCTTGTTTTTATCATTTCCCTACGCCTAATGGTTTGTTTTCATCATTACCCTGCGCCTGGTGGTTTGTTTTCACCATTTCCCTACGCCTCATGGTTTGTTTCATCCTTTCCCTAAGCCACATGGTCTGTTTTTATCATTACCCTGCGCCACATGGTTTGTTTTTATCTTTTCCCTATGCCACATGGTTTGTTTTCATCATTACCCTACGCCCCATGGTTTGTTTTCATCTTTTCCCTACGCCTCATGGTTTCTTTTCATTATTACCCTACGCCTCATGGTTTGTTTTTATCATTACCCTACGCCTCATGGTTTGTTTTCATCCTTTCCCTAAGCCACATGGTTTGTTTTTATCATTACCCTACGCCACATGGTTTGTTTTTATCATTTCCCTACCCAACATGATTTGTTTTCATCATTACCCTACGCCCCATGGTTTGTTTTCATCATTTCCCTACACCCTATGGTTTGTTTTCATTATTACATGTACCCTACGCCTAGTCCGAATTATTCTGACGTTTTATCGACTTTTTTTTATATCGGTCTGTCGTCGATTAACGTCGTTAATCGACGACAGGCCGATATAAAAAAAGTCGGTAAAACGTCAGAATAATTCGGACTACCCTACTCCTAATGGTTTGTTTTCACCATTTCCCTATGCCTTATCGTTTGTTTTCACCATTTCCCTACGCCTAATGGTTCGTTCAGGCTGCCGTTTGTGCCGTTTACCGCGGCGACTCTTCCATATACCACTGAAAGTGAGAAAGTTGTATGGCGAAAAATTGATGGGATTTGAGTATTATTCACGCCAACATTCGTGGTCTGCTTCTTATGACTTATGATTCCATTGTTTCTTTAATAATGTTAAGCAAAATCAATTAGCCGGAATAGTTTAAAACAATGATGGCGTTTTACTCGAACGGCGACATTTCTAGCTTTTGCCTCGTCCTGAAATTGTGAAAGATTTAACACAATCAAGTATCCATACTTGATTATTTTTACTTTTGTTCTCATTTCATTTAATTTTGAAATATCACTGTAAGAAGATGGTGCCTGCTAGGACGGCTAGGGCATAACAATGACCAGTGGAGAGTTCATAGTTAGCACAGTTTTGGCTGGCAGCTATTTTAACAGAAGGTGACATCTTTTATGTAATTACCATTAATAGAAAATATAAAAGGATTAACATAACCGTTGTCATGATATCTTATCGTGAAAAAATAGATTTGTCTTGTTTAAACCCAATCAAGTACTAGTGTTACTACTTAAGGTAATAGGATTGTGTCGCCATTTCTCAGTAGAATTTCTTCAAATTTTGTAGTTATATTGCTTTGAAGTAAAGAAAATTTTCTGCCACAAAAAAAACCCATATAGGTTGTCAGAATTTTAAGGATTTTAAATGGAAATTTATGTAAAAAGGAATGAATTTTGAAAAAAAAAATGAAACACACAATGTTTTGCAATATAATTAATGTCAATAAAAATGATACTGACATAGATTAGTATCGTATTAATGTATATCAATTTCATAAATGCTGAAATTGTGTAAAATCAATTATCTGTAAACGATTAAAAATTGACATTTTATAATGAAACCATTTGCATGTAAGAGTTATCGTTCTTGAAAAACTTCACAGTAGTGAAATAGGTAGCCGGTTTCCTGAAGTACATAAAAATGGACACATGTGACTCATTGATTAAAAAACAGCTGAATTAATGCCTGGATTGCTTTGAAATACTTTAATATTGAAAGAACACACTGTTCTGTCAATAATAAGCATACAATATATTCATCATTTTAACATTAAACATTAGAATATACGGAAATTGTGATACTGTCTCCCTACATTGGATTTTCAACTAGGCATGTACTTCCTATTTCCGTTTAGCAATACACTCCTATGACCTTACGTAAACCTTAAGGACATTCCAATATGGCTGCCACACATAACTGTATATCAAATTCAATAATGCATTCCGTTAGCATTAAACAATCCCTGTCCCAAAATGATCCTCCTCCAATATTTCTAAAACATAATTGAGCTACATGCACACTAAATTTCAGAAAAAAAACCCATTCAATAACTGATGAAAAACTCACTTTTTATGTGTTCATTATCCAAGCTAAATAAAAGTCACAATTCAGGAAAAAAACACCATTTAAACTTGTAAATATATGGTTAGATGTCCATGGAGATGCATTTGTCTAGAAAAATGTGAGAAAATGCTTCAAATCTCGAGAATGATGACATGTATTTTGATTTGATATTTTACAATAATTCATCAAACTAACAAGACTTTTGATACGAGTCAAGCCATTTACCTGAGTGAGAACCTGTAGTGAATGGTGTACAGGTAAAATCTCGCTTGCTTTGCATGCTTTTTTTCAACCTCAGTCAGCCTTGTTCGCTTTGTGCTCAGTTGTGATTTATTCAGGGGAAATATATGCCATTATTCTGGAGATTGGACACATTTTTTTACAATTTTCTCGACAAATGCATCTCCATGAACATCCAACCTTACGATATTTACAAGTTTAAATGGGTTTTTTCCTGAATCGTGACTTTTATTTAGCTTGGAAAATGGACATATAAAAAGTGAGTTTTTTCATCAGTTATTGATTGTTTTTTCTGAAATTTAGTGTGCATGTACCTCGATTATGTTTAAGAAATGTTGGAGGAGGATTATTTGGTGATAGGGAGCGTTTAATGCTAACGGAATGCATTATTGAATTTGATATACAGTTTGGTATGGCAGCCATATTGGACTGTCCTTAAGGTATTTCTGCTTGGTCAACATGGCCTCTATGAGGTACATTTGGCCAATGGCAAATATATAGTTTCTAAACCTTGTTTTACACTGTTTCTTTCGCCATAGGTTTCATTTGTTTGTGAAATTAACAGTTTCTTGAAATTAATGCCATTTAATTACTTAATTAATATCTAATTAACGATTTTGACTCGTCGTTTTTGTACGCAGCTACAGAGAAGCAACAATAGAATTTTCAGTTTAAAATAAGTGTATCACTGTTCATCAACACCACAGAATCTACAATTACCCTTATTTGTTAAAAAACAATTCTAGTTCAAAAGTTTGCGCTAAACTTCACAACTTCACTCGTGACGACCTCGTGTATTTACAATGTTTTTCTCTCAAACAGCAGGGTGCAATCAACGGCCTAACTCTATAAATCGACATCACTTAAGAGATCAACTCATTTGCATCTCGAAAGATGAACACTTCCCCCAAAAGTGTCACGCAATATAAGCTGTGATCACGTACGGATACCATCAATTTACCAAACTTGAAGTGACCGGTCTTTCACACACAACATTCTTCCTGCAGGACGCCATCTTGGAGCGATGCCCTCGTAAATTATTACTACGCGAGAGAGTGTATTTTAAGAAAACATCGTAAAAATTCTAGCTTTAGACCAAATCCTTTTAAGTGTATATATTTTAAGTGTTTCTGGTATTCAATAATTGATTTTTAATCACATTTATTGTTTGAAATAATATTTTATACATTTCTGTTTTTTACCATGCGCAACAACAAAGTGGTGAAAGTACTTCCGGAAGTTTACCTGGTATGATGATGAATGTAAACACCATAATATTTGTCGACGTTCTACAAAACATTGCACAGATTATTTTTCCGTAAATATTGATGAGGTAAATATATATTATGATGAAGCGAAATCAATTAATTGAGTTGCAATCGATTGCCCATGCAATTAGAAATTTTACATTATTCAGGTAAGTTCCTCTGTCAATGGTTTCTGTCATCACCAGGAAAACAACGTGGTCGGATGTACTCGACCGGGGTTCTTAGGGATTTCTAGAGGTACAAAATAAGTTATATTATCTCTTGAAAGATAGTGAGTCACTCTATGTGTTTTGTTTCTCTGTGTAATTTTGTTCAGTGCTTGTGTTTACATTTATATAATTAATAAGTGTTTTCAGACGTGCATACGCTACATATGATTCCCCTGTTGGAAACTCACTGAACACAATAGAAAAACATTGAATGTATGGTAACACAGGCCAGCAAGAAAAACGTGCACATTGGCAAATCATGCATTCACCGGGTTTTCGGCCACCGTGGGTTTGTCATTGAGCACTCAAGAAAAACATTGAATAGGTGGTACCACAGGCCGGCAAAACAAACGTGCACATTCGCAAATCATGCATTCAGCGGATTTTCGACCACTATAAGTCAGGCAGTTTTACATTGCATTTTCATTGAAGACATTTCCTTCTTGCCACTGTGGATGTTATTTGGTTTGTCAATAGAGAGCAAGGCGCTTTTATATTTTTTTTCACATATAGAATTCTTTTATTACATTGAACACTCCGGAACTTTTATATTGGATTTTCTTTGAAGACAATTATTTCTTGACACTGTGTATGATATTTTGGATAATGGAGAGGAAGGTTTTTTTTGGTGGTTTTTTTTGTACATAGACAATTATTTTGTTACATCTGTTTTGATTGTTTTGCTAACAAACAATCATAATATTCTACACTAAAAATGGCAAGGCAGATTAGCAAACGGCGGCGTAAACGTAGGAAATTTAATGGACCAAGAGGTAGACACAGTGCTTATGCCAAAAAGCGGTATCAAGCTGCAGACGCTTCAATCCACCAACGCTTGCGTCACATTCTAAATGAGGGGAAACCAAGGCCTTATAAGATCTGTCGAATGACGACTATTGTTGATGGACAGCCAACACTGAAATTTTTTGTGAAACGTCTTAACCCTACAACCACTCCTGGACTTCGTGCTGTACCGCAACGTAAACCTGGCATCCACATCCATAAAGTTGATACTTTTGATTGTGACGGTTACAGAGTATTTCACCTTGGAAATTTACACAAACACCTTTTGACATTGATGCGCCATGCATCCACTTGTGGTATCATATCTGCTATGTTGGATGATGATCATGATCTCCTATCTATTCTTGGAGAGAGGAATGTTTGTGGCCTGGCTGGAGAACTAATGCTGAGATGTGCTTGTGGTCACCGGTTTAACTTTGAAAGCAGCCCAGTTGTTAACCTCACAGATGACAAGACACACCATGATGTAAATCTTCGTGCGGTATGGGGTACCATGGTATCGGGTAGAGGTGCGTCATCTCTTGGAGAAACCTGTGCTACCTTGAATTTACCAGTGATACCGCAGCGCAAGTTTTCGGCTATTGAGAGTGATATTGGGGACTTATGGAATGATTGCCTCAAAGAGGACATGATAGCTGCTGCTGCAGAGGAACGGGAGCTGGCCGTTCAAAGTGGAGATTTTCATGATGGTGTGCCAGCCATAACGGTGATTTGTGACGGAGGATGGTCGAAGCGTAGCCATAAACATTCTTATAATGCTCTTGGAGGGGTAGGCATTATCTTTGGTGCTAGAACAGGTAAAATTCTACACATTGGTGTCAGAAACAAGCACTGTTACATTTGTGCTTTGTCAGAAACCAGGAAAACCACTCCCCCTAGCCACACCTGTTTTAGGAATTGGACAGAGAGTAGTCAGGCTATGGAAGCGGATATCATTCTTGATGGGTTTTTGAATGCAGAGAAGTTATATGGCCTACGCTACATGCGGATGATTGCTGATGGTGACAGTTCCGTGTTTGCAAGGATCCAGCAGTCAGTTCCAATTTGGGGTAGGCATGTTATAAAGATGGAATGTTCAAATCATGTGTGCAAGTGTCTTCGGTCCAGTTTGGAAAAATTAGTGTTTGACAAACCACATTACAAGGGAAGTGGAGGACTGACCAAGATGATACGAGTCAGACTGACAACTGCTGTCCGGTGTGCTATTCGTATGCGGTCAAAAGAAGCGTGTAAGAGGACAGCCACTCAAAAATTGGACCATGACATCCGTAACTCTGTACACCACATATTTGGAGATCATACGAGATGTACCGACTTCTGCAAGTTCACCGGTGTGCCATCATCAGCAACTTCAACATCCAATTTAGGTAAGGACACTTCCATGACTTCTTCTCCTGATGAAAATACAGAAGATGTTGACCATGTTCTTCATGAGCAGCAGATGTTCTGGACTGAGGGTACATCGGACAAAGACATTGAAAACAGCCGCTATGGATGTACATCAGTTGGAAATGTTGACAAGGACATGCTATCAGACATAAGCGTTCTGTTGGACCGGGTAGCAGCTAAGAGCAGCCGACTTATTGGAAACTTTACCACCAATCTAGCTGAAAGTTGGATGTCAATACGGATGAAATTCGATGGAGGTAAAGTTTTTAATAGGTGTAACAGAGGATCCTGGCATGCCCGTTGTTATGGTGGAGCTCTGCGCAAGAACTTCGGTCCTGCATGGTCACCTATCATATGGCATCGTACTACTGGTGTAAGACCAGGTCGCTCATTCACTTCGCTATATCGCCAACGATCACTCCAGCTCTTCAACAGTCTGAAGTCTCAAAAGAAGGAAGAGGTGAAAGCGAGAAAGAGAACAAAGAAGATGGCGTCCTCGGCACAGAGTAATAGCAAGAAGGCCAAACGGGAATATGGACAGTCTTCACTTGATGTTTTGGATGATGTGCCAGCACATGTGTTGAAAACCAAGTGTGAGGAATTCTTGAAAAGCTCTGTGGAAGTAGCAGATCAACAGTGCCAGCATGTTCAACTGACGACCCAGAATCAAAGTTACTCTGTGACATGGAAAGAACAGCGTCGAATAAGACTAACTGCCTCTAACTTTGGAGATGTATTCCATAGGAATCGAAATAAGTCGGTCATTCCGCTGGTAAAGCGCCTTCTGTATTCCTCTTTCTGTGGCACACAGTACACTAGGTATGGGTTAATGGCAGAAGCAGACACCATCCGCGAATATATTCAGAAGAAGGCGGAGTGTGACGAAACTGTCAGTGTGCAGAAAATGGGACTGTCTATAGACCTTGACCACAAATTCTTAGCTGCCAGCTGTGATGGTAAGGTTGTTTTGCCAGATGGTTCTTGTGGCATTATTGAGATAAAGAATCTTCTCCAACGCAACAAATTCCTGTTTGCGGATGCTGCAAAAAAGATGAAAAGTTTCTGTTGCGAGAACATCAATGGCTCATTGAAATTAAAAGAAAATCACAACTACTACTTTCAAGTACAGGGTCAATTGAATGTCACTAAATTGCCCTGGTGTGATTTTATTATCCGACGTACACAGCCATACCAAATGCATGTGGAGAGGATATACAGAGATGAACGTCTGTGGGAAAACAAGATGTTACCAAAGCTTTCTGCGTTTTACAGGAAATGTATCTTGCCGGAGATTGTGTTGCCTCGCCATAATACCAGCACAGGGATCCGAGAACCTCAATTACCATGGGTTGGTATTTAAGTAGTTTACCATGATACAATGACTTGTGTTGTATGGAGATTAGTGGAAAATTAATTAGCTGTCAATTGCTGACAACAACCTTTCCCTTATAGCATTATGTATAAAAATCCTGTTCTCCGAAGGAAAAGTGGTTGGAAGCCTAATTGGTCACATTATATCTGTAATCACATGAGGTTGTGCCAGTTCTCGATAAAATGAAATATGTTATTGTGTTTCATTATAAATGTTATTCTTACTTTAGATGATTTCTGTGTTGATTAGGTGATTTCTCTCAATAGATCATGTGCAATTGAATGTTAATTGCTTTCACAAATGTCTAACTATATAAGCAAAAAGACTTATACACAATGTTGTTTTTTTGCTTTCAGTTTGTCCCAGTGGAGCAAACAGTTGTCAAGAGTGTTAGAAGGACAACAAAAGTAAACACCACAACTCCAACCTGTTCAGTTCAAGGAAATCCAAAGTGTGCATCATCCAAAGGTAAGTATATATAGTGGTATGCAATGAAAATATAACCAGCTTCTTGTGCTGCCAAGCATGGCATTTTACCCGTGATGTGTGCATGGTGCAAAATGAAAAATTCTCACTATATTCAAGTACATGTACATATTATTTTATTGATATAAAGCTCACTGCATACCAAACTTCATGAAAATCTATTCATATGTATTGAAGTTATGCTCGCAAGTTCCAAGGGTAATACAATTGCAAAGGGCCATAATGCTGTACATTACATCAAATTGGTCCCATTGTTGAACTCGTGCTATGGTTATATAAAATCTATTCATATTTATTGAAGTTGTGGTATTCACAACGTTTAATAGTGATAAAAGTGCAAACAGCCTTAACACTGTAATTTACGATAGAATGTGTGCCATAGTCTATCTTCTCCGAGATGTTATCGATATAAGACTACATATACTAAATATCAGCAAAATCTGTTCATATTTACTAAAGTTATTGTGTTCACAAGGTACAATTGAATTGGTCCTGTTGTTGAACTTGTTAAAATTGGAGTATTTCATATGATCCAGTACATGTCTAGGATCAAAGTAGAAACCTTCTGCTTCCTTTTGCTCCTCTGATATATATAGGTTCCTGTGGTTTTGTCCAGTAATGAAACCAATGCTGTTCATATGTTATATGACATTTCTGTGTGTTAATCATACATTAAAAGAATGATACATCCATCAGCAGGTGAAAGTGAAGATCCAGTCGCACAAACAACTAGGAGGAGGAGGAGGACGTGTACAAAGTTTGTTGGTCGTCGTATTCAGCATGAATGGTGTGTGGACGAAGCTACAGGTGAAACAAAGTGGTACATAGGGACTGTTCTGGAGGTAATAAAAGGTAAAGACGGTCATCCTTCTGCTATATATGAGATACTTTATGATGGAGAAGATGAACCTCAACAAGTAGACAATCTACACGAGGATTTGAATGGTGGATCTGTGAAATTCGTGGATCTTTAGACAGGTCAGTTAACACAATTGAATTGACTTGTATAATTCCGTACTATGCCAATGGGCAGTCACGGACCTGATTCATGGCAAGTACTTAAAAGTAGGAAAACAAATCCCTATCCTTGACTCACCGATTCCAATGACAGGGAATGACTGGATGTGCTTTGTGTTACAATAATCTGATTAAGTGGGATGTCAATTGTATTTTGCCATGACGTTTTAGTGAGACAGCACTATAAAAGTTCATAGACCATTCCATCTATAGCCTTTTATATGCTGATTGGAGGTTAATGATAATTGCAATGTGATATTATTGATATTATAAATATTATGTGGTGCTTGTCATCAATTTTAACATATCTAGATCATTTCTGACAAATGTTTTAAACAATGAGAAAACAACTGACCCACATTATTAAACAGTTTGTGAATTTGATATGAAATTTCCATCATAATATATGGGATTAAAATTTTCAAAGATCATATTGTACAATGTCAAATATTGTACCAGGGGAATAGTAAGTTCATGAAAGTGTATTGCCATCTGCAAAGACAAAAAATGCTATTATTTTGAAGTGTAATCTTCACTATAGTGTGAAATGAACATGTACATAATATGAGATATTAATTAGGCCAAATTATGTTTGTGTTTGGTGTTACTCCAATGTAAAATTTAAATGTTTTAGCAAGTTCATAGAGGATTACTTCAGGGGTGTAATATTGGAAATTTATGTGTTTTTTTTAACTCCTTCTTCTTTTGTAGGAATTACATGACATCCGGTGATGGTATTGGGAAGATTTGCAGTTGATACCACAAGTAAAGTTGAAATACAGTACCCCAACATTACAGGAATTAATCAGTGAACAATCCACACAATATTAAGGAGCCTTAGGAAGCCAGAATAAGAAAGAAACACTAAGTAAGTACTATCATGGTTTGGTAAAAATTATAAATAAAGCATCCATGAGTAAAGAGAAATTCATATCTTGACCCACTCCTTCAACCCCTCTCTCCTCCTTTAGGAATGAGTGGATTTTGTCCAAATGTGGTGTAAAGCATCCTTGAGACAGAGGGAATAAATTTTGTATAAAACATGGGTCTCGCTCCCCATTGTTGTAGGGACATGTATTTATTCACAGAGGCGTAATGGATTTTGATAAAATTTGGTGTGGACGATTATTGGGTGAGGAGATCCAATGTTAAAAAAAAGGGGAATTTTTGGCAAAATATTTTGCCAAAATCAGTGAAATATCCAGGTGAGCGATACATGCCCTCTAGGCCTGTTGTTTTTTCACCTCATGTTTGTTCCCAGTCTATAATTAGTATTATAAATGATTTTTTTGTGTAATGCTGGGATGTAACATATATATAAAAGAAAACAATGTGTCATAAGTAAATATTTTGTATTGTTGCTATGATGATTGCATATATGGGCCACCATATTTTGCACCTAGTGTCACTGGAACTACTTTGTAGAGGTCAGCCATCTTGAATACATATTTGCCTAACTTAAACAACAGTGTGACTTTGAAAGTGGATTGCTTCTAACAAAAGGACTATGCATCAGTTTCCGTGATAATTGTGTGTACCTATATACTTTGAAAATACATTCAATGTGAATTTTTTGTTCTTGTTGTAGGATTTACCACTGTAGCTGCGCACAAAGTGTACTGAATTAAAAGTAAGTTTGTGTTCTTATATTGTTTTAATAAGGGTTATATTTGTTAAATATGTGTTTATTGGCACAATATCCACAATATGGACTTGAGCAGATGTGATCATTAAACCATTTTATGTTATTTCCAGACATACACTTTCTGTGTATGGTGGCAGCCATTTTGCCCGGATGAAATACCTTAACGAACAATGTCTATTTCACAAGTATCAAGTGTATCTGTTATAACGGACATTTCGAGCTGTTTTCTCTAAGTTGGCATCAAGCACATCATCATGGAAACAATCACGTGTCGACATATTGACACAATTTATGAATATTGCATTCACGACAGGGCGATATTTTCACTTCCGACGATTCATTGGTAACCAAAGCAAAGACGAGGTCAACATGACTTTTCTCGGGAAGAAACTATGTACTATCGCCACCTCATTATACCTGCATGGTCTCGTGTGTATTTCTAATAGCTGATCTTTCTGCTCGTCAATAGTGGCGTTTGGTGAAACAATCAACGTCAAAAAGACGTTTCAATGTTTTCAATAGAGAAAGCGTAATGCTAGTAGCTAACAAACATCTTGGTGTTAAGGGAAACATTCCCCGAGATGAGCCATGTGCGCATAAATGAAGCGCAACCAACACAAAACATCACAACAACGAGCCTTCAGTCGTCGACAAATGTAATAAATCAAATATGGTTTCAAGATAGATAAAAATAGATGTGCCCGCTAAGTTCCAACAAGCTTGACTATTTGGGAGTCAGTAACGATGAACAGGATTATTCGGGGTGGAAAATGGCCATTTTATTGTACCTTATGGGAATGAAAGATTGAAAACAGAGAGATGACCACGTGGATACGCGTCCTCTCGGGCAGCTACTGTTTCTTCCAATCCTGGTCTGTGTCGTGAATAGGGACTCGACTGACAAAACACATGGCCACAACCGGAGGCCAACGTCATTTTCTATAGTGGTTTTTAATAGCAACATACCTTTTTCACTGAGCCTTTCAAAGGTTCACATCATTTATTAAGTTAAAACAGCTCTGTATATATCAAAAATGATATCTCAGATGTTAACATCACTTAGCCTAGAGTAAAATCTCGTGATCTGTCATCGGTGGGCAAGACGGTACAAAACAGTGTAGCATGTGTCTGTATTTGAAATATTCACAGCCGCATATTGTAAATATAATTAGCAACATCTTCTGATGCCGAAGGCACATGAGAGGAGAAAGAAAAAGAAGACTCTTTTGCTCAAAAAAGGAACACTACAAGTTCCTCCTTGACACAAACAGTTTTCGCTCAAAAGAAATAGCTTCATATATGTATATGGTCGGTTGAATAAAACAAAATGCGACAGACATATCTACAATATTTCTAAACATAACAATCCTTTGATAATATAAAAGCCATCTGTTCTAGCACAGAAAATTTTCTTGATATCCATTATCCGCCATTGCTGATCAGAATTAATTTGTTAAAGGAAAAAAAATAAGGAACAATTTGTACGGTTTTTTCTAAAATATGTCTTGCATCAAAACCCCCTCTGCCAAACTGGAATTCAATAATTTACCCCTTTACTTGTTTTCTTTACATTTGATGTACTTATTCGATACCAAACTTTAAGTTGACAGATGAGTAGGTTATACTACTCAATCATTAGACACGAGCTTCCCGCGTTAGCAGGATTCGGAAGCTGAACGTTTTGAGTTAGTGATGAGGGAAGTGTTTCAGACTAGTAAAGTTACCTGTTCCTCAGATGAACTTGTTGATTGTCCAATGACAGTGAAATCCTGTCGTGCTATTCCGTCAAACTTTCGGGGAAAGTGAATGAACTACTCAACAACGAACAATGTCGTATTTCAGAGGTCAATAAAAGCTGTAATCTGTAATAGAGTGAGATCAGCCAGATAAGGTTACTCTCATTCGAGGGCTAATATTCTGTAACATTATACTTAGGAGGTTATAGACTCTGAGACTAGATAGTATGTTAACCGATCTCGCTCAGTTGCAGGACATGTTGTCCCTTCTCTAATTCAAAGTATAGTAGTTTTAGATAGCTATACATTACAGGATGATGTCCCAGTGTAGTTATACATACAGGTGGTACATAATAATGTATCTAAAACGTTAGTCTGCAAGGCTGTTTCGACAGCGAAGTCAGGGCAAAAGCATGGATAGAATCAGTTTGTAGAATTACCTTTATAAGACTTATTTAACTCTTTCACCCCTATGTAACTTTAGTAGACTGTAACATACATTGATACGGATGAGTCCATTATATTATGGTCTACAGTGGTGAAAGGGTTAAGTAGTGACAAATAAGATACTTTAATTTATACCAGTGTGTATGTGTGTTTATATACTTTATCTGTAGGTGAATTGTATCAATGACTAGCCACATCATACCGCTCAATGTAAATCACACACACCATTTTAGCCTGAAAAGAGCCAGGTAGGTTTTGAGACGTTGTGGAACGTTTGTACGAATAACATTACATTTAGGGACCACGATTGTTGAACTGCTTGTAATTATCCCCTTTGTCTTTCTTTAAACCGGTCTGTAAGCGTAGGATCGTGCAGTACTGTATAAGGAGCTAGCTAGATTTTGAGAAATTTAATTACCATATTTCTAATCTTATGTACACGTGGGAATAAAGGAGTAGTTACACAACCTAATGGCTAACCTTGGACGGCCTCAGAAATGGATAAAACGAACTTAAGATGTAAGGAGTTTTTACCTTCATCACCAGGTAAACCTATCGTTATACTGGAAATAATTGTCATTAAACTATAGGAGTACATTTTAATTCAAGTGCAAAGTGGCGAGGTTGTGTGATCATGTCAAAAGGTTTTACACTTCTGTTAGTAACAAAAATAACTACGGAAATGAGAAAAGCGACAGAGTCGTGATCATCTTTTGAGACTTTAAAATACATTTTTCTTACCGATTTAGAACATGATTTCAGTCTGCAAAATAGGAGAGAGCCAAAAGAGAATCTACTTTATTCAAAGAATAGCGAAAAGGGGGACGTTGGATAAGCAACTTCATTTGCAGTGTTCTTAAGCATAGCGTGACAGAATCGTTTCCCATAGCTTTGACAAGACTAATATAGTTAAGTACATTGTATGTCAATGATATTTTCAATATCAAACGCTTTTCAGAAATGTTCGAGTCAGATCTAAACTCTGTGACAGGTACGTTAGTGTTGATATCACAAATACTAGATATGGAATTAGTATGCAAGTCTTAAATATTACTGCTCTCCTTAATTGTGGTACAATGTTAAAAGTGCCTGACTTGTGTTATCCATGAGGAATCCTCATGGTATCCGTTCCGGAGCCATAAATAGACAAGTTTACGCCGATTTCACACTCATGTAAGCTGAATCTTATGAATTCCACGACATTTGTTTTAAATATGAACAAATATTTGTCGACAAATTACACATATCTTGAATGGCTGGTATTTTCGGAGCAGCGACTGTGTTCGAAGAAAGACAACCCAACAATTCCATAAAAAAATAGAAAGAAACACACACATGTTTCCCGGTGATTGTTTTTACTGCGTTTCTTCTTATTAATCACCCCGAACGGGGTTTAGAGCCTTACTGTTTTACCTCCTTCTTAAAATTCATTTCTATTTCTAAGAATGTCTACAGAGCTTTTTAAAGAATGCCATTTTTAACAGTGGCATCAAGATCGTTTTCTAATCTTATATTTACATTCTGGATGTTTGTTCTGTACATAAATCTACCAACTGAAAACAACTGCCAATTAACCATGACTACACTATGAATACAACGATACTCGGGCAACCAGTCAGCTGATTCCACTTCCACGCATATAGCAGCGTTTCTGAGAAGAGTTATCTCCCCTCCTCCGAGGTAATGTTGTTGCGAGAAATAATAATAAACATTACAAAAATCATAGATTGTGCACCATTGTACTATTATTATTATTATTTCTGATTTACAATTTAAAAAAAAACCACTTATAATATCATTGTCACATATTAAATACTGACTTCCGACTCGCAATCGGTTCCTCGTGGCACCAACTTAACACCATTTACGTCTGCAAGGTTTTTGGCAAACAGCACATTCAACGGCTGTACATATAAATTCAAATGAGGTCTATGCCAACTGCCGGGTGCTTGGCCGACGAATGTCCTGGGTGGTGACTGATGATTTGAAAAAGTGCTGACATAAACTTTTTTAAATAGATAAAATGTGATTAATCCAAAAAAACAACATCAAATAAGATCAACTTTCAAAGATGAAAGGAATATTAAGCGCCGATTATTATTTGATTCTAAATATATATTTTCATTTTAAAAAATTGAACATATTTTTGATATTTTAAATTTACAAAAAGTGTGGTATTTTTTTTTTTATTGTAATTCAGCGTAACGTAAATATATGAATTGAATTGAAATTTTTTCATGTACATTGCGGCAATGAATAGCAGTAGCTGATCGTGATCTACATATCTACTGAGGAGCTCTCCACTGGATATGTTTAATTTAATTCTTTTATAATCGTAAGCAATATAGCTTATTGATATTACATTACATGTATTATGCACAATATAATGTCATTCAAAGTTAAGTTCAAGCCATACACTATAATATATTCATTCATTTCATAGACAAGAGGTGTGACCTAATTTCAAAAGCTTTATACATAATCTTTCCAAAATTATACAGTTCTGTTACATTTTCTGTACTAAGTAATTTCAAAAGTTTATACTTGGATGGCTTAATTGCATCGGTAATAAGAATTAAATAGTCTTTGTCGGAGGAGATCATATTCTCTACAAATGAAAACAAAATGATATTCATCTTCTATACTTCAGTAATACATATTGGGCATATACGGTTAGAAACAGCCTGCTTATAATTAGTGTATCTTCCTGCTTCAATTGTTAAACAGTGCACAGACAAACGAAAACTACAAATTACTTTCTTGAATTTCAATAAAATTGACTTTAATAACTAACTCTGTAGGCATATATGGTCTACAAGATATTGGTACAAGTTACACTTTGTGAACACAGATTTTGCTGAAATGTATTATGCAAGCGTTGTTTGACTTAAGAAAGAAAATATTTTAAATCAATATTTTGCTGGCTTTGCCATATTTCTCGCATACCTAACATTGACAATTCCATTTTTACATTTGCTCCCCAATTTTTACAATTTGGATTAGATTCACACCTATTAAACAAATACTCGTAGCAGACTTGCAGTATACAATTGTGTCTCCTTATTAATTTACACCAGTATTTGAAGATCTTTAACTTCCTGATCACAGAAAAGAGTATCTACCAAGCTCACAATACACCATAGCCCTGGATGGTGACCCCTTTACACCGTGTATATTCTTACACAAACCAAGATGCACTGTTTCGATATCGTTAGCTGTATGCATACCCCACACTTCACATGCATAGTTAGCAATACTACCAACATATGTATCAAAAAGTGACAAGTAAGTTTTAAAATTTAATTGCATGTCTATACATGATTTTACATAAATGAATACTGCTTTACGGCATTTAGCTGCTAATTGTTTCTGTGCTAAATTGAAGTTGCAATTATATTTCAGAATAATACCAAGGTAACAGAACCCGTCAACAACTTCAATAAATTCACCTTTGTAAATCCATTTCTCTTTACAACAAAAAAATCCTGATTTTCCAAATACAAGTACTTTAGTTTTATCAATATTAACTGATAGACTCCACCTGTCAGTGTAATCAGACAGAGTATTTAACATTGCCTGTAGGCCTTCTGCACTTTCTGAAAATAACACCATGTCATCAGCACATATCAGTTAAAATAACGGTGATTGTTGCAATTCTGTAGGTTGAATAACATTATTTAAAAAATCGTTATCACAGTCATTGACAAACATTGAAAATAAAATTGGTGACACAATTTCTCCTAGTAACACCCCAGTCACTTATTGAAAAATCTTAAGCATTTACCATCTAATAAAAAACAAGACCTAATATTGTTATACAAAGATCTCAAAGTTTTTATTATTCGCCCTCTGATTCCTAGTTTCTATATTTTATACCATTATGTTTGCCTATCTATGCAGTCGAAGGCTTTTTTATAATCAACGAAACAACAATAAAAATACTCTCAATAATTGATCGTAAAACAATAAACTGCATCAACTGTGCCCGGGTTAGGTCTGAAACCGAACTGAGCATCAGATACGATGTCATTAGCCGAGGCCCAGTTTGATGATCGGGTGTTCAGTATGGATGTTAAAAGTTTCAGAAATTTAGCTGAGGAGGCTTTTGCCTCTGAAGTTACCTGGATCAGAGGTACTACCCTTTTTATAAATAGGTACAACCAGAGCATTCGACAGAATATTTGGAACATGACCCAATTTCAGCATCGCATTAAACAATGGAATAAGTACATCCTTAAATTCAATAATATGCAGATCAGCTACTGCTATTCATTAGTCGACCAATTATTGCGCTTCATGTTGGAACATTCGAAAATTACTTGGTGTGTGATTTTCTTGTGGGAACTTCTCCGTGCTTTTTGCACTTAAGTGCAAATTATTGTTTTTACACTAAGACAAGTAGAAATCTTTTAAACCTAAGTTTAAAAAGTACATAATGGCCATTTATTTATTTGCACTTAAGTAGTTTATGTATTTTATCCCAAAACGGCCGCCCATAGACCGACGACTGGTTAATGAAATTAAACTCCAATCAGTGTAAACACATGGAAATTGGAAAAATTCAGGGGGAAGTAACCACATATACAATCTACATTTTCCAGATAGTAGAACTGAAATAGAGAAAGTCGGAAACGAGAAGGATCTTGACGTCACTATAGACAATAAATTGAGATTTTCCGACCATATGTTAACATACCAGTTACAAAGGCTAACAGAATCCTGTGTACTATCTTCCGTACTTTCACTTATATGGAAGCAGTCATGTTGACACTACTTTAGAAATCGTTCGTCAGACCACATTCAGAGTATGGAACACCTATATGGTCCCTTTTCTTCATCAAAGACAAAATCTCCGTTGAATATGTATAAAGAAGGGCCAAGTGAGCTTATGCCGTGGTGCGGCGTCCAACTGTCGTCCGTCCGGCGTCAACTTTTTACTTTAAACAACTTCTTCTAAAAAAACAAGAGGCCAAGGGTGATGCTATTTGGCCAGTAACATGCTGGGATGAAGGGCTACCAAGTTGTTCAAATGAATGACCGTTGGCCATTTTCAAGGCCAAAGGGGTCAAATATGTTAAAATCTTTCAGCAACTTCTTCTGAATAACCAGAAGGGCCAGGGTGATGATATTTGGCCAGATACATGTTGGGATTAGGGGCTACCACGTTTGTTCAATTGAATGACATTGACTTATATTCAAGGTCACAGGGGGGTCAAATATGTTTAAACCTTTAAAACAACTTCTTCTGAATAACCAAAAGGCTTAGGGTGTTGATATTTAGCCAGTATGAAGCTGAGGTGAAACACTTCGACGTTTGTTCAAATGAATTACCTTGACATATAGTCAAGGCCCTATAGGAGTCAAATATGTTTAAAATCTTCAAACGACCTCTGAATAATCAAAAAGCCCGCTATGATGATATATGGCTAGAAGCATGACTGGATGAAGAGCTATCAAGTTTGTTCAAATGAATCACGTTTGCCAAGTGTCAATGTCATAGGGGTCAAATATGTTTAAAACATGTAAACGACTTCTTCTAAATAACCAAAAGCCCCAGGTTGATGATATTTGGCCAGTAACATGCATGGATGAAACGTATCGAAGTTTTTTTTCAAATGAATGACCTTGAGGTATATTCAAGATCATAGGGGTTAAATATGTTTAAAATCTTTAAATGGCTTCAGCTGAATTACCAAGAGGCATAGGGTGTTGATACTTGACCAGTAGCATGCTTGGATGGAGGGATACCAAGTTTGTAAAAATGAATGGCATGGACTTAAATTCAAGATTACAGGGGTCAAATATGTTAAAATCTTTCAAAACTTCTTTTGAATATTTGGCCTGTAGCATGCTTTGATAAAGGGCTACTAAGTTTATTCAAATGAATGACCTTCACCATATTCAATGTCACAGGGGTCAAATATGTTTAAAACATTTAAACGACTTCTGATGAATAACCAAAATGTCAAGGGTGATGATGTTTTGCTAGTGGCATGCAGGCACGAAGGATTACCAAGTTTGTTCAAATAAATGACCTTCACCCATTTTCAAGGTCACTAGGGTCAAATATGCTTAGACGACTTCTACTAAAAAATAGTGGCTAGGATGATGACATTTAGCAACCCAGATAACAAGATATCGTCGGGCCAACGGCGCGATGCGACGATCGCATATCGACGTTGGCCAACAACGGAGATAAGCTGCATTGCCAGCGGATCGCTTCGCGCCGTTGGCCAAACGGTGGAGTTTAGCTGCATAGCCAACGATCGCGGTCGGAAATTAACTGATCATCCAACCATAGTCTAACGGATATCCGGTAAAGCCTCGTTCTGAATGTAGCTTAGCGGCGAAAATTGGAAGCGGTACGTCGTGTTGCAGTGTCTTGACAAAAGAAATTACTGATGTATCTGCAATTATTTACGAGTAGGATGAAAACGTGTAAATGATAAAGTTGAATATAATATAAGATCTACATTCTATTTTCATTGACAACTCGTTTTTAGATCACTTCAATTCAAATTTTGTTTTTTAGCCCCATGTCCTGTTCGCATCATCTGCCCATGTGACATAATGGCATGTAGGGTGATGAAAATCGTGATTGGATTCCATATCCCGATTTGCATATTTACAGGGAAGGGAACTCTTGTTTGGTTGAAATACAAAACAAAATCGCCAATTTCCGTATTTACATATAGACAGAAATGTAAAATATCCCGGGCGGGGTGTTGGAGCGTTGTTACAGGCGTACAATTTTAGAATTATCAGACGGTAGCCCAACGTGGGGCCAACATAATTGTCTTCCACCAGTGGCCCACCGTTGGGGCAACGGACAAAAAGCTGTTGGGCCAATGTTGTATGCCTACATTGGTCCAACGGTACAGTTTAGTTGGGCCAACGTTGGCCCGTCGGCGGTGTGCTATCTGGGAAGTAGCATGCTGGAATGAAAGGTTTGGCAAGTGTGTTCAAAAGAATGGCGTTGACTTATTTTCAAGGTCACAGGTTTCAAATATATAAAATAAAACTTTAAATGACTTCTTTATGAAAAAAAAATGCAAAGGATGATGATGTGACCAGTAGCATGCTCAGAAGAAGAGCTATCAAGATTGTTACAGGGGTCAAATGTGTTTAAATCTACGAGCAGTTTTTTAGTGACTTTGAGTCAAGACAGATGCAGATATTTTCCATGTAACTTTATTTTAGTGTACATGTACTTTAAAGGTTACAATTGTGAGATTAATACCAGGTGAGCGATGCAGCCCCATTGGGCCTCTTGTTAAAATAGGTGCACTTTTACTGATCGTTTGGCAACAAATCAACAATTGCGAACTTTATATAATACGTGTGTTAAATATATCACACACGTGAGACAGAACTGTTTGTCTATTTTATAATGTGTGAGTAACATAATCTATACCGCCACAACTCATCTATGTTTAAATAATGCACGTTTTATCAGTTTATGCGCAACAGGATGAATATTATCAATAAGGTAATGAAATATAATCAAGAAATCTCCAAATGCTAAAAAAGCTTACAACGATGTACGTAGATTACAGCGAAAAGTGAGCCGTGTCTGGTAGCTAGGCCATTCAATAGCTCCTCCCCCGTCATATTAAGACGAGTCGGACAAACAGATGTAGCTCTGCCCGTCACAATATAAATGTTTGATGTAAACCAATTACTTCATTCATTATATCTTATAATAAATACATGTATATCATATGTATGCCGGTGAATGATTTTCCCGAAGTGATATAGGACCGACCATTTTTTTGTCGACCGATTTAACCATAAAAATATACTGTTATGAAAATAACTAACCGCTCCCTTGACAACCGGAAATGCTATTGATTCGGTATGGAGGGTCGAGAAGAGGGAACTGTGATGGTCGCCAATATAAGGAAAGATATCCGCGTTACACTGATCATGTCGACGTGAAAAAAACGACAGGCATAGACATGGAACAAGACGATCTCGGTCATTTTGTATCAAAGGTGACTTTTATTTTGTAGACAGAATGTTAATCTGTGAAATTTGGGATGCAACTTGGTGAATTAATTATGGAAATTTCCGAGGTCCCCCTGTCGACCCAGTTGCTATAGACGATGTCTATGCTCATAACGCTCCTCAGCAGCAGACATTTATAAACATATATATGGCTCACTGTTTTATTATACAATGACCTGCTCGATAATTGTCCTTACTCATAGTAAGATTAAATGCCTGTAAATGACACAGGCCTAGGAAGCTTTGCCCGCTAATTATATAATGAGACCATTTAAGGCTCAAGTGCAAGTGACAGACCACACACAGGTAATAAGGCCTATGGGCCTAATGACATTCGCTCTCCCAAAATTTTCGGTCCATTACTTAGATGCAGCGAAAAAAGGAGTCGATTGCATTTGCTTTTCAAGTCATTATAATTAAGAAAATTCTTACTGTGAGGGATTCAAAATTTGCTCGTATTTGTGTGATTCCTTTCTATGTTGAATGCACTTCACTTGTCAGTGGTAGATCGAGAGACCTATCTGGGGGGGGNTATGGATCTGCCACTGCTTGTGCTATTTGCTCTCAACTTTCTACTTCTACTCTATCTATCAACTAAACTTATTGATGACTTTCTACAGTGGTGTTTGGTATATTTCAAGTAGAGTAAGTATGTGAGAGCGGAGTCAGCTTTTCACAGTTGCCGTTAATGTCAAACTCGCTTAAAAACAAGACAAACACATTTTGTTTATGAAATTGATAAAAATTACATAGAAGAACAAGAACAATAAATTTGTGACTTAAAACTACCGAAATTGAAAGAAAATACTAACAATATTTCGCCCTAATATTTTTGTTTTAGGGTGAAACAATCTAATGGCGAATTAACCTACCTGGCGAACAGGATTTCTAGCAAAACAACCCGAAACATCATTTGTGTAACAGTTACCTATTTGAGTAACAAATTTTATTATTGAAATGCAGGATTATTACCCACATACGCCATTGTGTGGTAACATGACTGTAATAAAAAAAAGAGGATAGGCTGGTAGGGAATGATGTTACTTTCTTTCACTGTTTTTTTTTCCTGGGGTGAGGGGTTTAATTTTAAAAAATTACATACATCACCATCCATAGTTATTCAGACCAATTTGATTCATTTTCATTATATTTTCAGGTCTTTTGAATAATAATATGGTAATTAAATTTCATTCAAGACCTGGCTTTTGATCATTCAATGTTCAGAAGCTTAAAAACATTGCCTATGAAAATTGATAAAGAAAAATTGTGATTCAGTATTAATTTACAATGAAAATTAGATAGAGTGATTGTCAGTTTTTGAAATGAATAGGACAACCTCATTGGGAAGTCGAGGGATCCAGAGTTCCCAACCTGTCTAAATGGCCAAGTAAGGGGAGACAATTTAATTTGATAATGCCATATGATTATAATACATGTATACAAACATAAATGGAGTGCTGGTTTTTAAAAATAAAAAACAGATACATGGTTGTAAATTAGAATATAAAGGCACCTCAGTCTTATCCCTATTATAAGGTGCTCAATTATCATATAGTGCTCAATTTTCATAACATGCTCAATTATCATATAGTGCTCAATTTTCATAACATGCTCAATTATCATATAGTGCTCAATTATCATATAGTGCTCAGTTCTAAAATACGAAACTGATTGTCTTTGAAATTGAAATAAAAATAATAATAAAATTATTAAACAATCCCAGCACTGCACACCCACTTCCTGTTTTATAGCAGCTGAGTAGACTGGAATAGCGGAGTAAAGTATCTTGTCCAAGGATACAAAACAGTGCCATGACGGGACTCCAACCCGCAACTCTTTGGTCATGAGCCCGCCGTCCTACCACTAGACTACCGCGGATATGAAATATATTATCCATTTCCTTCTTTTCATCAGATACAGAATTTCTTTATCTTATTATTTGCTTATTTGTTTCAAATGCACAAATGATCAATATCAATTTTCACCTTAGCAGAAAGTCTTGATTGTTATTTTACTACTATAAGCTAGCTGAAACAGTTTTAAACTAAGCTGATTGTACAGTTATATTACGTTATTGTATGCATATATGGATTACAGTAATGAAGATCTCCTTGTTCCAGATCATCGAAGCTGAGATCTTGTTCAAACATCTGAATCCTAGACAACAGGAGCAGGCTCTAGGAGTGATCAGCTCAATGTGCAAGACATGTGAGCAGGTTGTGGGAGGCTCCCATCATAGCTGGACTTCCCTAACACCACAGACCACCAAAATTCTTGACAAATATTCCAGCCCCAAACAGGTGGTCCAAGGCATTCTTTATGAGCTAGTTAACCAGTCGGTAAAGGCAGCAGCTGACAAGTTGACCGTCTGGCCTTCTCAGAGACTGCGAGAGCGGCGATGGTCACATGTGAAAGTTGAAGACGGTCATGAAAGTGAAGAAGAAGATCAAGAAGATACTGGAGACATTTCAGACAATGACATTGATACCGACTCCTGCATAGAAGTCTCTCAAAGAAACAGGAAACAGCGATATCCAAGAAAGACAACTCTTACAGCACAAGTCAAAGGAACAATCTACACAGGTAAAAAGCGAGGGAGGAAGCCTAAACACCTGAAAGTTGAAGACATAGAGGCAGAAATACTTCCAGAACCTAAAGTGGCACCAATTATCATTAAACGTGGTCGAGGCCGGCCTCCGAAACGGAAAGTATTCACATGCGTTACTTGTGGACAAACTTTCACTCATCAACAGTCACTAGTTGTTCATGCACTTGAGCATGGAGAACAGGCGAAATCCTGTGAGATGTGTAGTGAAGAATTCTTATCTCAAGAGAGTATTGCTCTTCACCGATGTAAGAAGAGAAAAAAATCCATAGTTGGCTTAAGGTTATGTCGTGTTTGTGGGGATGAATTCCAAACCTCCAAACTTCTGAGGGACCATATGTGTAGTGAACATGGTATACAGAGGTCCCGGTTCTTCTGTGAGTACTGTCCCACTGGCTTCATCAAGAAACAGTCCGTCTATAAACATTATAAAAAACATGCCGCTGGGAAAATTGTTTGCATGAAATGTGGACATTTCTCCGTAGACCTAGCTGCCCACAGTGAACATTCCAGCACACATAGGAAGACTGGTGCCTTCTCATGCAACAAGTGCAGTGCCACATTTGCAAAGTCACAACATTTTGAACGACATTCCGCTAATGAGCGAGCTTGTTCCCTGTGTGGCTCGCGTTACTGCACACGGCGTGGACTAGGTCGTCATCTAAAGGATGAGCATGGTATCATACAGAGCAATGATGGCAAGGTGTATAAGTGTGATGTCTGCTGCAAGGCTTTCGACCGACCATATACTCTTGAAGTACATAAAAGAATTCACACAGGTAAACATCAAACTCGTGTAAATATGAGTAATGTTCTCCTCAAACAATGTGGTAGTAATGTACAGTGAAAACGTACGCTTCTGGCACCTGTAATATCTTAAACAACCTTAGGATACTGAAGAAGACTGTCATATTTCCTTGTAAAAAAAACCGGTAAATTGATAAACATGGGAATATGTATCCCATCCCAATACAAAAAATAAATATCGCTGTAAAGCATTATTTTTTCAAAAGCTTAGTTTTATGTATCAGTTATGTGTTTTAACTTTGCAAGGTACTGCTCAGTCTTACAGCTGGTCTGTCAATAACAGGCTATAGCTATTACTATTGGCCAATATCAGTTAAAGCGATGGATGTCTAGAGAATTGTTTTTTGGGCCCTTGATTTCTAGATTTATTTTATCATCTTGAGGCGGAAGTAACCGAGTGCTGTTAATTTTTTGGGCCAATTCAAAATCAAAAGTTGCCAACATGGTGTCCATCTTTAAATAACATTTCTATCTTTTAAGTTCTCTCTGTCCTGTATATAGTCGGCAGGAATAACCAGGGATGAAAACTGACAAAATGTAGCTATATAGATACTGTACTTTTAATCAAAATTCATGGTGGCTATAGCTGCAATTTTGAAACATATATTGGGCAACCTTTATGTAATACAATTGCTGGTCATGAAAAGATGAATACAGATATGCTACACATTTAAAGAGTAATTTTTAAAGTATGCTTTTGTGTTGTTTACAGGAGAGCGGCCTGTAGAATGTACAGCCTGTAAATTGTTTTTCCGGACTGGAAAGGCACTGTTTAAACACAAACAGACGTACACACATTCCATAAAGGCCGGGGAGGAGGTAAAGGAACGCACCTTCCTATGTTCTACCTGTGGGAAGGCTTACTTCAGGTCAGTTCACACACAATGTCCTGGGAGACTTCACATTAATTATTATCATTAGGAATAACTGTAATATCAATGTAGAAATTCATCTTACACAACCAGACATGTCTGTCTAACACATCCAGACATGTCTGTCTTACACACTCAGACATTTCTATTTGACACACTCAGACATGTCTGTCTCACACACTCAGACATGTCTGTCTTACACACTCAGACATTTCTATTTGACACACTCAGACATGTCTGTCTCTCACACTCAGACATGTCTGTCTTACCCACTCAGACATTTCTGTCTTACATACTCAGACATGTCTGCCTCACAATTCAGACATTTCTGTCTTACACACCCAGACATTTCTGTCTTACACACTCAGACATTTCTTTCTTACACATTCAGACATTTCTGCCTTACACATTCATACATTTCTGTCTCACACACTCAGACATTTCTGTCTTACATGCTCAGACATTTCTGTCTTACACACTCAGACATTTCTGTCTTACACATTCAGACATGTCTGTCTTACACACTCAGACATGTCTGTCTTACAAACTCAGACATTTCTGTCTTACACACTCAGACATGTCTGTCTTACACACTCAGACATTTCTGCCTTACACACTCAGACATGTCTGTCTTACACACTCAGACATTTCTGTCTTATAATTACACACTCAGACATTTCTGTCTTACACACTCATACATGTCTGTCTTACACATTCAGACATGTCTGTCTTAAACATTCAGACATTTCTGTCTTACACATTCAGACATTTCTGCCTTACACATTCAGACATTTCTGTCTCACACACTCAGACATTTCTGTCTTACACACTCAGACATGTCTGTATAACACACTCAGACATGTCTGTCTAACACACTCAGATATTTCTGTCTTACATACTCAGACATGTCTGTCTCACAATTCAGACATTTCTGTCTTACACACTCAGACATTTCTGTCTTACACATACAGACATTTCTGCCTTACACATTCAGACATTTCTGTCTCACACACTCAGACATGTCTGTCTTACACACTCAAGTCATTTCTGCCTTACACACTCAGAAGCTTCTGTCTTACACACTCATACATGTCTGTCTTACACATTCAGACATGTCTGTCTTACACATTCAGACATTTCTGTCTTACACACTCAGACATTTCTGTCTTACACGCTCAGACATGTCTGCCTTACACACTCAGACATGTCTGTCTTACACACTCAGACATTTCTACCTTACACATTCAGACATTTCTGTCTTACACATTCAGACATGTCTGTCTCACACACTCAGACAATTTCTGTCTTACACACTCAGACATTTCTATTTGACACACTCAGACATTTCTGTCTAACACACTCAGACATTTCTGTCTCACACACTCGGACATTTCTGTCTTACACACTCAGACATTTCTGTCTCACACATTCAGACATTTCTGTCTTACACACTCAGACATGTCTGTATAACACACTCAGACATGTCTGTCTAACACACTCAGACATTGTTGTCTTACACATTCAGACATGTCTGTCTGACACACTCAGACATGTCTGTCTCACACACTCAGACATTTCTGCCTTACACATTCAGATATGTCTGTCTCACACACTCAGACAATTTCTGTCTTACACATTCAGACATGTCTGTCTTACACACTCAGACATTTCTGCCTTACACATTCAGACATGTCTGTCTTACACACTCAGACATTTCTACCTTACACATTCAGACATTTCTGTCTTACACACTCAGACATTTCTGCCTTACACATTCAGACATTTCTACCTTACACATTCAGACATGTCTGTCCTACACACTCAGACATTTCTGCCTTACACATTCAGACATGTCTGTCTTACACACCAATTATTTCTGACTTACTTAACACTCAATCATCTCTGACCTACACACTCAGGCATTAAAATTCGGTCTTACACACTAGATTATATCTCTGTCTAATTAACAAGAAATATCTGTCCAACATACTCAGATTATTTCTGTCATAGTCAACCCCCAGACATTTTCAGTATTAATAATCTGCTTGTCTAGTGTCATGTTATATAAGCTAGTAGCTAAGAGTGGTTCAAAAAATGGGTAAAGAAATGACCATGATTTATGTTCAAGGTCACATAGTGTTCACTGTTAAAGGGTCCCTCCTACTTGGGATGGGAAAATACTGACATTTACAACATAGTATGTATACTCTAGAATGTTTGGAAGACGACGATCATTTTTCTGTCAGATATGGGCTAATGTTAAGAGAAATAAAATAGTAAGCATTATAGCACCATTGTGTTAAGTTTTAAACAAGCAAATAATAATTAAGTTTTCTGTAAAAAAATTCTGTTAAGACTTTTGTTAAGATGTGCTCATGATCACGTCTTATAATATAATATACCTGTGTAGGATCACATTGTCATAGAGGACAGCTTGATAAAATGGCTGCTTTGAAACACATGCACCTCCAAAACCAATTCTGGAAGTTAAGAACAACACATACAATGTATGTGCTGTATAATCAAAATAAACAATTCATTTACAGGCTTATATATACTATACATCATATATCCAAATTCACAACTTGACACAGAACCATTATGAGTGCTGAAAAGTGTAATGGTATATTATTTACGAGGTATTGAATCTATATGAAGTTTGTATTAAGATATTATTCTTTCTATATATAAGTGAAATTTATTTATTTTACAATAGTTATGCAACAAGTTTTTACAACTTATTTTTATCACCTTGTTGGTTGGCATTGACGCTTGGGTGGGTTGGGAGGGGTCTTATTGTGGGAGGAAACCAGAGTACCCTGAGAAAACCCATGTGACTGGCAGGACCCCATGCCTTTTCACGTCGAATCGGGGAATCCACCCAGCTGCATGTGTGCTATCTACTGCGCCACACGACAATCCATTATTCATTCCATATTTGTTTGACCCATCTAATACTATGTGTATGATGTGCATTCTGTTTCATGGTTTTGTATAGCTATAATTACCAGAGTTTTCGTCTTTGCAGGAAACATGCTCTGCAGCGCCACATGAGTTACCATACTGGTGAGAAACCACACACGTGCCAGTACTGCGGTTATAGCTGTCGCGAACCAAACAATCTCAAACGCCATATGTCACTTCACTTTGAGTCACAGAGGAACTTTGTCTGCGAGATCTGTGGGGCAGCTTTCCATGCCAAGAAAACCCTCGAGATGCACCATGCATATAAACATAATGAGGACAGAAAGTTCACTTGTGATCAGTGTTTTCTTACATTCAAAGCTAAAAATGCGTTAAAACGTCATATGAAGGTGCATTCTGCTGAGAAGGAGTACAAGTGTTGGTGTGGCACTGCATTCAAGCGTATGTACAACTTGCGTCGCCATCTGAAAGCCGTCCATGGTGCTGACGACCTCCTTCCACCAGTGCGCAGAGTTAATACGCTTGACAGTGAGAAGAAAAATCCAGGGTCACGCACAGACTCCCTGCCAATGGACAAAATTTCTACAAGTGGACGCAAAAAAAGCACAAAGAAATCACTTACAGCAAAGTTTGGAAGTTCAGATCACGATTATTTTGAAGCACGAACAACCTCCACATCAGGCAGCAAACCTGAGGAATCTGTTGTCAATGGAAACATGACATCCGACCCGAACCAGTCTAATGAACCCATGCAGTTTATTGCTGTTACATCAACTGGCCCAAACATTTCTCAAGCCATGGTGATAGACAGACAGACAGACTTGATGACCCACCTAGCTCCCTCACCTACACAATCACCGCGGCAACCTGTTCCCCTGTCGCTACAGCATGGTCAGTCCCACCTCCCAGCACAGCATTATATCCATCCCCCATCACAAATTTCCTCCCAGGCAGGACAGGGACGAACCAAGTTTGACACCCATGCTGGTATCTATGGTAACGGAATGGAGAGACAGCAACATCCTCAAGGGATGGAACCAAACAACATGTACATGCAGAGCAGCAATGCCATAGGGGGCAACAACTTTATCCCTCAGGCTGTTGCCTACTCTACTATAATGCGTGAATATGGAACTCAGTTTCAATTTATTCCTGATCCCTCCAACCCAAGCTATCACAACTTTGTCAAGTAACCTCTGACCTATCTTACCTGTGTCATTGACAGCTGACCTCTTCTAGGTTTGTCATGTAAATTTGACCTTCTTACTGTTATCTGTGACCTCTTTGACATGAAGTAGGTATGGCATTATCTTTCCATATTTATATATAACTGATTTATCAGGTAGATTTAGTTATTAGTTCACCTGATATGAAATGCCAATGCCTGTGAGTTTAATGTATGGTGCTGCATTCATCATCCATCAAATGAGAAAATAGCTCTCTCGAGGGTGGGGGGGGACTTTCTTGTTCTTCAACCCAGATATGCTAAGATCAAATTCTTCATAATGTCAAGGTCTTTATCAAAATTTTTGAATTTTATTACCCCAGTGTCACCTTCTCCCCCTGGGAAGAAGATACATTTATTTTATATTTTGTATAGGGAAATAGTACTTGTAATTTTGGTTTGGGTTGGTTTTGGTTTATTCTTTTAAATGTTCTATTAACAGCTAAGGTCATATAAGGACGTGTCCCCATGTGTATTGTATATGCATGCATGTGTGTATATGTACCGAGGCAGGTTATGTTGGTGTATCTGCCTCCTTGTGATAGCGCATATTTTATGCCAACTTTATAGTGCTATCTCACTGAAATACCATGTCAAAGGCGCCCCGCACAGCATTCCTCCCAATCACATTACACTGACATCAGGTGAACCATTTGTAGTCATTTGCCGAAATGCTAAACGTTAAGCAGGGAGTAACAACTACCATTTTTAAGGACTTTGGTATGTCCCGGTCTGGGGACAGAACTAATTGTCTTCCCCACCTCAAAAGCCAAATTTGAGGTATTGCCAAACAAAATGCTAGGAAATAAAAGGTAGTTGGAAATAGAGAAAAATATATAGATCTCAAATATTGCAATGGGTGCAGCAGGTTTATTATGGTTGCTTTCGGGTCTCCAAGAATAGAGCACAAAAGAAAATCCCCTATTCTTCAGAGGGTTCCCACATTAGTCGTCTCTTACGATACATGCAGTGGGTTACAGCAGGTACATACTTTACTTGATCTCCAACCTGCAGGGGTGGTACTTGCAAGTATATTTAATTAAAAGAACACAGCTATGTTACCTGAAGTCTTGGTATGAATTGTAATGAAACCAGAAAGATAAAAGATGAAGTCCATGATGGGGAAATAATTGCAATATTACTTTTAATGAGAATATTTTACTATTGTTGTAATATACAGGTGAGTTATACAAGCCCTCTAAGGCTTTTTGTTAACATTGTAGACATATAGATATAAAGACACTCATATTTCATGCATTTTGTTTAAAGTCATATTTTTAAACATACATTCCATTGCTGATGACTGTGAGGAACTTCTTAGGCGGTTCCACAGTGGTCAATATTATTCTGGTGTTTAAGGAGATCTTGGTGACCAATGTTATTCTGGTGTTTAAGGAGGTCTTGGTGACCAATGCTATTCTGATGTAAATGTTTCCCTTCTGTGACAGGGAAACTTAAGGCTGTATGTTACCTTACTCTGACACTATTGGTAATTTCTCTGAATAAGGTTGTCTCTATGTCTGAACTTTCCTAAGTACCCAGTGCTCCAAAGTTAGGAGGTAAAGCCTAACACATATTATTAGATACATTCCATTAATTTCTTTGTTCAAGAACAGAAATGAAAACATATAATATCTGTCAAGTTGTATGTCTGTTGACGGAATCTTGTCTGAACACCTCTTCTCTCAAATAATCCAAATTTCTTGAAACGAGGTGTTGGAAAGCAGCCAGTGATCAATTTGATAATTTATAGAATAATTAAGTAACTGTCATGAAAACGCATCAGACATATCAACGTCTAACTTTCAAAAGGAATGAATTTGTGACTACAACACCCCCTACATTGATCCTAACGCTAAAACTACATAGGGTTTTTTGCTGGTTATAAAAAATATTAAATATAATCATGCTACTAAGATCAGCTCCTTGGTTCGGTCCCAACCCCGGGGACTAAGTCTCAAGGTTTTAACATGGAAATTGGTTGCAATCCTTGCTCCATTAATTACCATGTGTACAATTACTGGGCATGAAGAGATTGTCAATGCCATGGACCAGGTGGGACATGGAATCCCTGGAACATAGTCCCTGGTGACTTAGTTCCTGGAGGGTCATGGCATGCTACACATTCATACTACCAGGTTTGGCACTAGGGTCCAGGATCTGCCCTTGGGGACTTGGTCCCTTTCCTTGGTCCCTATACTTGTATTAGGACATGCCCTTCCTCAAAGGATTGATTTCCCGAGTCATCACATGGAAATTGTTTAGATCTCCATCCTAAAAAATATTCCATGGGCATGAAAAGAGGCAGTCTTGTTTACATAAAAGACATGGGTCTTGACCCCCTCACGAGGACTTACATTTGAGATTTAGGAGATACATGTATGTACACCACACTATCAGTCTGACTCCCACTATGCTGTTGGGGATGAATTATCCTCTGTTTGTTCTTTTTATTAATGTAATCCAGATCTGCATAGAAAATATACCATTTTTAGCTCACCTGGTCCGAAGGATCTGTGAGCTTTTGTCATTGTGCAGCATCTGTCATTTGTCTGTCAACTTTTCCTTTAAAAAACTACTAGTCCTGAACAGCCCAGTAGATTTTGACTAAATTTGGTCTGGAGCATACTCAGGCCAAGGGCACTCAATTTGTGTGCCTCCCTGGAGGCAGAGGAGGGGGGTCTACTAGAAGATAAGGATAAAGGGATTTTACCCTAATTTAATCTCGAGCATCCTTGGGCAAAGAGGACTCAATTTTGTATAAACGATGGGTGTGGCCCCCTCAATGCAGAGATGTGGGGCTGAATAGGGGAAATAGAGGTAAAAAAAATAAATCTTTCTTCTACCATAGGGATTAAGGGATTTTATCCCAATTTGACCTAGAGCATCCTTTCGGCAAAGGGAACTCAGTTCTATTTAAACGGAGGGTATGTAGATGGATGGTGTGTCCCCATTTGGGACTGAATGATGGGGCCCAAAAGGGGAAACTTAGGTAAATGTTAAATTGCCTTCTCTTAATGATTCGATGAATTTTAACCAAATTTTGTGTACAGCATCCTTGGGTGAAGGGGACTCAATTTTGTATAAATTGATGGTGTGTCCTGTCTTGGAGAAGAAGGGCAGGGGAATTTGAGGTAAATCTTTCCATGTTTGCTTTATTATCCAGGTGACCGATACAGGCCCTCTGGGCCTCTTGTTGTTGGTTGTTAAATGTCATAATTCTATTTTAAAAATGCATTTTCACAAGGTGTAACTACTTACACACTGTGATATGGTTGATATGATATATACTGTTATCATTAAAGACTGATACTATTTATAACTTATTTCTAGATATGATTGTTGGTTTTAATTTGAATTGTTACTGGATATATATTTATATGTTATGTATTTGTCTTACTGTACATTATCATACGCTATTTCCACAAATGAATATTTATGAAGAACTCAGTGTTTTAAGACTGTATTTCTTTTAATAATAAAATTACAGGAATGTAATATGTTAGAGCGGATACTTTGTTTCTTTTCCCCATGGCAGACATTAAGATTACCTAGTTTTATTAATTCACCTAGTCCAAATGAAGAGCTTATCCCACCAATATATAGTCTATACAACTTCGTCCAGTGTCCATGATCTGTCTTCAATATATAGTCTATACAAATTCGTCCATCATCTGTCTTCAATATATATTCTATACAAATTCGTCCAGCGTCCATCGTTTGTCTTCAATATATAGTATATACAACTTCGTCCAGCGTCCATGATCTGTCCTCAATATATAGTCTATACAAATTCGTCCATCGTCCATCATCGGTCCTCAATATATAGTCTATACAACTTCGTCCAGCTTCCATCCGATGTCCTCAATATATAGTGTATGCAACTTGGTCCAGTTTCCAGCATCTGTCTTCAATATATAGTTTATACAACTTCGTCCATCATCTGTCTTCAAAATATAATCTATACAACTTCGTCCAGCGTCCATCATTTGTCTTCAATATATAGTCTATGCAACTTCGTCCAGCGTCCATGATCTGTCTTCAATATATCCATGGCAGACATTAAGATTACCTAGTTTTATTAGATCACCTAGTCCAAATGAAGAGCTTGTCCCACCAATATATAGTCTATACAACTTCGTCCAGCGTTCATGATCTGTCTTCAATATATAGTCTATACAACTTCATCCATCATCTTTCTTCAATATATATTCTATACAACTTCGTCCAGCGTCCATCATCTGTCTTCAATATATATTCTATACGAATTCGTCCAGCGTCCATGATCTGTCTTCAATATATAGTCTACAAATTCGTCCAGCGTCCATCATTTGTCTTCAATACAAGTATATAGTCTATACAAATTCGTCTAGCATCCATCATCGGTCTTCAATATATAGTCTATACAAATTCGTCTAGCGTCCATCATCTGTCTTCAATACATAGTCTATACAACTTCGTCCATCATCTGTCTTCAAAATATAATCTATACAACTTCGTCCAGCGTCCATCATTTGTCTTCAATGTATAGTCTATACAAATTCGTCCAGCGTCACTCATCTGTCTTCAATATATAGTCTATACCAATTCGTCCAGCGTCCATCATCTGTCTTCAATATATAGCCTATATAACTTCGTCCAGCGTCACTCATCTGTCTTCAATAAATAGTCTATTCAACTTCGTTCATCATCTGTCTTCAATATATAGTCTATATAACTTCGTCCAACGTCACTCATCTGTCTTCAATATATAGTCTATACACCTTCGTCCAGCGTCACTCATCTGTCTTCAATATATAGTCTATACAAATTCGTCTAGCATCCATCATCGGTCTTCAATATATAGTCTATACAAATTCGTCTAGCATCCATCATCGGTCTTCAATATATAGTCTATACAACTTCGTCCAGTGTCCATGATCTGTTTTCAATATATAGTCTATACAACTTTGTCCAGTGTCCATGCTCTGTCTTCAATATATAGTCTATACAAATTCGTCTAGCGTCCATCATCTGTCTTCAATACATAGTCTATACAACTTCGTCCATCATCTTTCTTCAATATATATTCTATACAACTTCGTCCAGCGTCCATCATTTGTCTTCAATATATAGTCTATACAACTTCGTCCATCATTTGTCTTCAAT